TTCGGGCTGTTGACTGGAAGTGCCATCAATCTTCAGATGCAATCCGTTCTATCTTGGGAGACAAGTGTCCATCAACCTTCGACATCAGTGAGGGAGTAAATTGTCTTGAGGAGACACTTACTATGGGCTTGAATTTCTTCTACTATTCCACATACAGTGTTCATTACTTTCCAATATTGTAAGTATGTTCTTATTCTTATTACCCACTGTCTTCCATCAAACCTCTTAGTGATTTTAATATCACCCACTGTCTTCTACAACTAGGGTTGTGCATGGGTCAGGTCGGGTCAGGTTTTTGTGTCGACTCGACCCAACTTGGTTTTTGTAGGTCAGGTATTTTGATCCGACCTGCTTTAATTTGATCCAAGTCAGGTCTAACTTGGTTTGGATGTTTTTGAACTAGTTCAGAACCGGGTCGGATATGACCTGACTTGGTTTCTGAAGTGGGTCTGACTTGGTTTCTGAAGTGGGTCAAATCTGACCTGACCCGTTTTTGACTTGGTTTCGTCAAAATTTCGTCAAAATTTCTACGTTGCAAACGACAAAAATTTCATCACAAAATTATTTTTTCGTCGGAATACTTTTTGTCGAAAAGCGACAGAATTTTTCCTCTAATGAAAATTTTTATAAAAATAAATTTTCTATCGAAATTTAGTTTCCGTTACAAGTTTTGACGAAAATGATTTCCTCCATCAAATGTTTTAAATGAAAAAAGAATTCAGTCAAAAATTTTGTTCAAGTTTTTCGTTCAAAATTTCGATGGGAATGTGTTCTGACGAAAATTTTGATGAAAGTTTTTTTGAGGGAAATGTTTCATACGAAACTTTCGACGAAATTTAGATTCTCTAAAGAATTTTTTACAGAATATTTTTTTCGTCAAAATTTTTTATCTAAATATTTTTTGTCAAAAATTGTTACGAAATTTTTTGACAAAAATATGTTTCGTTGAAAATTTTGATGGAAATATTTTTTATCAAAAAACTTGACGAAAGAATTTAGTTAAAAAATTTCGATGGAAATGTATTTCGCTAAAAATTTCGACGAAATTTTTTTTGTCAAAATATTTAACGAAAATGTTTCCGTCGAAAACTTTCGCAGAAATTTGAATTCTGTAAAAAAATTTGATAAAATTTTTTCCCATCAACAAATTTCTATGGAAATGTGTTTCGTTGAAATTTTTGATGAATATGTTTTGTTGTGAAATATTTTGACGAAGTTTAGATTTTGTTAAAAAAAATTTCCGTCAAATTTTTTTACACAAATGTTTTTAGTCACAAATTTTGACGAAAATATTTTTCGTCAAAACTTTTTTTCAAAAATTTGATGGAAATATTTTCCGTAAAAAATTTTGACGTAATTGTTTTACGTTAAAACTTTTCTTTTAACGTAATTGTGATTTTCTTTTCACATAATGGGTATAGGTCAAGTTTTGGGTTAATGGGTCGTTATTAAAACAAGTCAGGTTTAAAACTGACCCAAATAAAAGTTTGTCAGTATTTATACCAATTCAATAAAAATAGGTATTTATGAGTCAGGTCAAGGTCAGATCAAGGGCAGGACAAGTGAACCAGTTTTTTTGCGCACCCCTATCTACAACAATATATATATATATATATATATATATATATATATATATATATATATATATATATATGAGGCAGGATCCTTTGATACCGGTGTCAAATTTGAAGTTTGACACCTCATCTAAGAGCCGTTAGATCAAAAAAGATCAACGACTCTGATTTATAAGCTCGTGACACCATTGATCTTTTTTGATCTAACGGCTCTCAGATGAGGTGTCAAACTTCAAATTTGACATCGGTGTCAAAGGTTCCTACCTCTCTCTATATATATAGGGTTCATCTAATCTCATGTTGCATAAAATTACGCTTATATTGCATAAGAGTAGTTTTCTTATATATATTGGTTTAGGATTATTTTACACTAATATAAATTATACTTTTGATCTTAGTTGTCAATCCCATTTATATCTAATAGTTTTAATTTATTAGATATTTGAACCGTTAGATGTAAGTAAATCAATGACCAATATTTGATATAAGCTTCTTATTCTTATATCGGTATAAGAATATATTATCCATATATATATAGACAATCGCCGTAAAAGTTCATTAAAATTTAACTTGTAAATAATTGTATCAGCTCTAAAGCCAAAGAACACCTTCTTCTGCTATTAGCATATCGCCTTTCTAAATTCATGCTTCTTTATGTAAGGGAACTAGGGAAGCCCATTTTGGTGTACAATCGGGGGAAATCCCACAAAGACAAACAAAATGCGTCAGGGGAAAGTTATAGCTAAAAAGATGCATAAAATTCTTAGCTATCTTTTTATCTATAACTTTCACCCGACGCATTTTGTTATAGCTAAGAAAATGCATAAAATTTTAGTACCAAAAAAAAAAGGAAGATGCATAAAATTTAATTCAAGTATTTATACTCTTGCTAACATGTAAAGAGGTGGCAAAATGGGTCAACCTGCTTCAATCCACTCTAAACTTGCCAAAAATGAGGCAGACAGTGCGTGTTGACACGCCATTTGACGGTGGGTTCAAAACATCAACTCATCCCATTTTGAGGTGGGTTGTCAACGCATCTAAATAATAAAAAATTATATTTTATTAATTTTATAATATTACTTATTTTCACACTCTCTTAGTTTTTTTCCAATCTCAAGCCTAAATATAAGCTAATATTCAGTCAGAGATTTTTTAGTAACTTATTTTTGCCTCCATATATGGATAACCTTTGTTGTAAATAAAGTTTTTTTCTTTATTTTTTCTAGGAAGTACTAAGATAAAAAGAAAATTTATCACAAAAACTTAGTGATAAATAAAATATTACCTAATAATAATAATAATAATAAAAAACTGACCCGCGAGCCAACCTTTTTGACACATAACTAAGCGAACGAGTTGAGACAGGTTGGTGGGTTGAAATATATAACCCAACCCGTTTAATTTTGGCAGGTTGGCTGGTCGATCTGTCGAATTCAATCCATATTATCACCTCTAAAAATGCATATTGCGTTATTTCTTTTTCCTTTCCTGACAGTGGCAAATTTAGGGTATGTTTGATTGTGTTTCATTTATTTTGTTTCAAAACTATTTTGTAAAATGAGAGGTTATAGTTACTACCTTTTTTTCTTACTACTTGTTACTATCAAATCTTAACCGTTGATTTTCGTCAATTTAACGGTTTTAATTTCTTAGAATTAATAATTAATTAATAAATGTGACCCAATAAATTATAACTGTTAGATTTGCGAAAATCAACGGTTAAGATTTAGTAGCAACAAATAGTAAGAAAAAAAGTAGTAACTATAACCTTTCCATTTTGTAAAATAGTTTATAGGGAAAGTATTTTTTATTTTAAAAGTTAAAAGTCAAAATACAAAATGAAAATGACTCAGTTTCTAAGTTTGATTTTAAAATAAAAAAATAGTTATTATTTTTTAAACTTTTCTTACAAAATAAAGTTTATCAAACAAGTTTTTTTATTCTAAAAATTAAATTTTTTTTCCAAACAGAATTCAGACATACTCTAAACTTAGAGTTTTGTTTTAGTGGGCCAGGCACACATGATCCCATTCCAAAAGTAGAAAATAAAAGGGAGTGGAATGGAATTTTTAAAGAATCGAGGAATAAAAAAGAAAACACATTTTTTCAAAAATAGAAAACGAACCACCATAAGAAAATAGACCCGGATCATTTTAAAAATCCCTCTTAACTTTTGTTACTTTTTATTTATAGAGTACAAGATCGTTGGGATCAACGAGAGCACCATATTTATTTATAGAATATTATTTTTTATTTTGTTTGAAATAAATTATCTCATTTAACGCATAAAAAATATGTGATTTTTTTTTCTTCTTTCCTTTAACTTGTCCCACCTATTTTTTTTTACGAGAAACAATACTCCCTTTATTTATGGGATTGTCGGTTCTCCTGTGACTGAAAAAAAATTTCTGCTGTCACAGACACAAAGGGATGGAGTCATAATTTATAAAATAAAATAAAAATAAATTAAATTGAAATCACATTTTTCGAAGGGTCTGCGGGACAAAGAGATACTCTATCGCGGCTGGAGAAGTATAATTCCGTTTATTTATACCAGTAAACTATGATATTATTTCCACATTAATTTCTTGCTGTCTGTGCTTTTCTCAGAAACTTCCAGTCATATACTCACCCCTCCTTACACCACATCTGAGCGAGAAGAGATTTCCAGTTATCTTCCGTTGCAGTTAAATAAGGAAGCCGAGATGCAATCCAAATCAAGAAAATAATAATAAAAATAAAAATAATAAATAAAATGATCAGTAAAATAAACGAAAAGAGTGGCTGCAGGCTGCAGCTGCTGGTGGGAATTTTCTTCTATAGTGACTGACTGGTGACGGTGGTGTCATTGTTATAAAAGTATAAAACTATATACTGACTGACTGACTCAAGCGTAAGCCGAGCCGATTGAGAAGCCGAAGTTCGCGCTACCCGCAACCCGATAATAGCACGCGCGGTTGCACGTGCATAGGCAGTGCGAACACGTAAGACTCTCACGGGACGAAAGAAAGAAAAATAAAATAAATTATGACAAATTGACAATTATAAAATAATAAATAAATAAAGAAAAGTAGCGCACTGTAATAAAATAAGCGACAAGGACAAGGGGTCGCGTATATAACTACCCCCATTCCCAAACGCACCTTTCAGTGCTGTTGTTTTAACTCTCACCAACTCTTCTCAAAGCAGAGAATCAGAGAGAGAGAGAGAGAGAGAGAGAGAGTACAGTAAGAACGCGCATCCTTCAGTTCAGCCATTTATTCCTCTCAGCAGCAAAGCGTGACACACTCTTTGCTTTCTTCTTTTCTCTCTCTCTTGCATTACACACCTGCAACTGCACCACAATCAAAATCTCTTTGTTTGTCAGAATTAAAGCGAAAAATTTATTATATAGAGAGTGGGACTGAGAGAGGGTGAGAGTCAATGGAGCTCAGTAAATTGACCCTTGAGATCTTCTCCAAACTGGAGCAGAAATGGCTCTCTCACTGCAAAGTCACAAACAAAACCCGCATTCTCAGTATTGACGGCGGAGGAACCACAGCCATTGTTGCCGGCGCTTCTCTCATCCACCTCGAGGATCAGATCCGTCTCCAGACGTCCGATCCCCACGCTCAGATTGCTGATTTCTTCGACATCGTCGCCGGTACCGGCATTGGCGCTCTCCTGGCCGCCATGATCACCGCAGCAGATGCCTTCGGCAGGCCTCTCTACACTGCCAGAGACGCCGTCCGTCTCGTTACGGAGAGGAACTCCGAACTTTACAAGCTCAAATCCGTCGGAATATTTCGCCGGCGCCGGAGATTCTCTTCCAGGAGCATGGATAACGTGCTGAAGCAAGTGTTCCAGAGAAAGGACAACGGACGGTTGTTGACCTTGAAAGACACGTGTAAACCTCTTCTTATCCCTTGCTTTGACCTCAAGAGTTCGGCGCCATTCGTGTTTTCTCGAGCCGATGCGTCCGAATCTCCGAGCTTCAACTTCGAGCTCTGGAAGGTATGCCGCGCAACCTCGGCGACACCGAGCAATTTCGAGCCCTTCCACTTCACTTCCGTCGACGGAAAGACCACCTGCTCCGCCGTGGACGGCGGCCTGGTAATGAACAACCCTACGGCAGCGGCCGTCACGCACGTTCTCCACAACAAGCGCGATTTCCCGTCTGTGAACGGCGTGGAGGATCTCTTTGTCCTTTCCTTGGGAAACGGATCTTCGAACGCGAAGGCATGCGAGGACCGCGGTTGCTCAACGTCGTCGGTGGTTGACATTGTGCTCGACGGTGTTTCCGAGACGATTGACCAGATGTTGGGGAACGCCTTCTGCTGGAACCGTACGGACTACGTCAGAATCCAGGTACGTGAATGGTTCTACTTTTTCTTCGGTTTTATATATCTGATCTCTGCGTTGTGGTCAGAAATCAGAATCCAGATACTGTTTGGTTTACTAGAAAATGAAAAAGGAAAATGGAACGAATGAATTGACGGCGTGTGTTGTGTTGCAGGCGTTTGGTTTGGGAAATGAAGCAATGAGGAAGGATATAGTGAAGGAAGAGGAGGAGGTGCTGAAAGAGAGGGGACTGGAGTCGTTACCGTTTGGCGGGAAGCGGTTACTGACGGAGACTAACGGAAACAGAATCGATAACTTCGTGCAACGTCTTGTTGCTACCGGAAAACCCAGCCCGCCGTCTAGTCCCTGCAAGGATTCCGCCGTCACTCCTCTTTCTAACGGCCGCTAGCTTCTTCTTTTTTAATTTTTTTTTAATTTTTTTATTTAGATTTTAACGCTGTAAACTGCAAGCAAAGTGGTTTTACCTACGTATGCCACTTGTCAGAGTTAATAGCATTTAATAAATTACCTGGTAGAATTACTTGTTACTTTCTTTTCCAGTTTATCTCGCTTGATTCAGATTATGATTTCTTGGAGTGAAGGAAGGATTAGACTCATTAGAGGCAATAATGATGGACTTAGTTTAACCGAACAGAGACACAACGATTGGACTTTCTGTTTATCGTTTTCATTTTTCTTCTTCTTTGCCTTGAAACGGTAATGGTTAAATCCCTAAAATTTTACCAAAAAAAATCCCTATAATGGCTGCGTGATTTGTGGAACCGGAGACCAGACTCTTTTTACTCTGAAAATTAGAAAGCTTATAAAAGGATACTCGTTGGAGGCCATATTTGTAATTTTAATATAAATTTTTACTTATGTTAATTGTAATTCATGATGCGGGCTTCTTCTTAATTTAGATTTTTTGGTTAAAAATAAAAAACCTAGAAAGGCTGAATTGGGTTTTGGGTCGGGACACGTCTACCAATGTAAATGAGTTAAGTCGATTTAATTAATATTGAATTAGACTTAATTTATTACAAATAGTAAAATAGAACATACATAGACTTTTAATAAAATTTATTTAGAAAACTAAGTCATAGATTTTCTTATACATGTCAAGTCTATAGGTCTACAGGTTGACTTATATCATATTATTTATTTTATTTAAATAAAATTATTATTTTAATAATTTTGAATAATAAAATAATATTATTTTAGTTATTCTTTTAATTATTGAATATTTAATAAACTTAAACAGGTTAACAGTAGGGATGGCAAAAACGAGTCAACCCGTCGGGTTGGCTCGCAACCCGTCCTAAATGAGTCGTGTTGGGTTGGCCTAAATGAGCTGTCAACCCGACCCGATACAACCCAAACCCAAACGAGCCAGCCCGCGGGTCAAACGAGCCAGCTCGCGGGTTGGGTTTTTTTTTTTTTAATTCAAAAAAATATATGATTGTATTAAAGTAATAATAATAATAATAATATGAAAAGTCCAAAACTGCCATATGCTCACATCGTCGTCACTCGTCACTTTTCTTAACCTTAAGATTCTTCTGCCCCCTTGGGTAGCTTGTTCACCCTGTTACCATTAACCTTGCATCTTCGGGTCTATTGGCCTATTCTCTTAACAAACGCAATCCACTACTCCCAAGGTGCAATACCCTTTTCTCTATATTTCTCTATATTTCTTTTTTATTTTCCCCCAATATATATATGAAAATGGATTCATTGTTCTTCTTCTATGTTGTTGACATTATAAGATTTGTTACTTCAATCTTTTTTCTTTTTCCAATTTGGGTACCTTTGAAGAGATCAAAGTTGGAACCTTTTGGCAGTGTTGATAATTTTAGCAATGTTGGAGAACAAATAAGACTAGTTCCACAAAAATTAATTTTTTTGAGCCAACCCACTGGCATCATTTCAAGTTAACCCGCGAGCTTTTTTTGAGCCAACCCGCGAGCTGATTATCGAGCCAACCCTAACCTGACTCGAGTCGGGCTAGGTTGGATTTTCTGGCTCGTTTATTTTTTCGGGCCAACCCTAACCCGACCCATTTTTTACTGGTTGAATGCAGGTTGAGCCGGGTTAGCCCGTTTTGCCAACCCTAGTTAACAGGTCAAGACTTTTATTTTTTAAATATAGGTCAAGTCAGACTTGTAATTTGGGACCTATATAGACAAACAGGCATACCAGACCTAATGATTTTTACACATATCTGACCTATTTAAGTCGAAACTTAGCCTAACTTATTTACACCCTTAATCCCATAAATTAATTTCTTTTCAAAATTGAATATTTCGTCATTCATGACACGTTACATGTAAATTTTGTAGAACATTAAAATATCGTACTGTAAACAAATGATTTTGTTTTATATCTTGTCGTTCCTTTCTCTTGAGCTGAGTGCCACCATTTGGACTGGAGAGTTGTGGTGTGTAGACGATAGGGACCAACGATGGCCCTTAGTAGTAGTCAGTACTCACTTTGACGCATGCCATGGCGGAAGGGAAAAATATATAATGATGACGTTTTGGGTTTGTTATGTCATGCTCAATTCATCTCGTATATTCATTAAATTATTGTGCATAGGATGCTACATATATATATATATATATATATATATATATATATATATATATATATGATGTAATTAACAATATGATATAAGGTTGGGATGAAATTACCAACGTTTTATAAGTTCAAAGTTAATTTAAAATTTTTCTTTTACCAAAATATAGAGGGATTGGTTTAAGTAATACATGTTTCATTCTGTTTAAATAAAGTCTTACAAAATTAAAAAAAAAAAAATTGACCGAAACCACGCAATTTTTTACTTTTTTGAAAAAGACTACATCATCATGATTTCTCTTACAAAATTTACATAAAAGAAACTAGCTATTGTTGGGATTAATTTAACATTTTAAGGGTTTCGTTTATTATAGTATGGTCGTGGTAATTATATTGGAGCTGATTTGGTAGTTGAGTTTGGTGATTGCAGTGCAGTACTTCTCTCCCACTGTCGGCATCACACAGCAACCCACTGGTGGCTTTATGCGATGGCATTAAATAGCCTGTAATATCTGCTGCCTTTTATGTCCCTGTCTTCGTTGGTTTTCCTCGTGGCATCTTTCTATATTTTTCTAAGCTTTTGTTAATTGCATGAGAACCATTTACCGTGGCACAACATATATATATATATATATATATATATATACACATATTCCTGAACCTCACTATATCATGAACTGAACCGATAATAACATTATAAGACATGATTCACGGCTTAGCCAATAAAAATATAGGCGTTCTGACCCTGGTTTTTAGCCAACCTGTTTGATGTGGACTGGTTCACTCACACAATTCACAGCAGAATAAGGATATTATTGGATTCCACCACATTCACAGTATTAAGTTCTAGGTTTCATCGTAAGAGTAGTGGGGGGACCCCAACCATTCTCAGCTTGTGCGCTTCGGTTTTAGTCTATGTTCAAGGGAATATCCTATAGGGAATTCCAGCGTGATAAATTTTAATCCTTTAAGAGTTATTAGTTCCCATCAATTGCTTTTTTCATACAAGAAGAAGCTCTCCTTTGACAAGGATATGCATAATTCTTCTGAGACTGAGAGGATCCTTTTCTGTTTTTTACTTAGTGTAAATATGGACTATAAAGTTCTAGTGCTTACCCTCCCCCTTTATGCACATCCTAAATTGGCATGATATCATAAGTGAAATATTCGGAGTTCATATTTGAAGCTAATTATCGAATTTTCATTTACTATTCGAGATCTGTTGGTATTGAAAATAAAAAAATGCGAACATGTACTACACATGACTAGATTTGGACGTTAGTCATAAAAGACAAGCCTAGTGGCATTTGTCCTGGCTAGCTAGTTTTAAATGAGAGGGTTCATCCTATGCCGTTTCTTAAACTCACATAGTCACCATGAGAGTACAGTAATGTTGGAGAAATTAATGGCAAGTGGACCTTGTTTTCAGATTCATTAAACTACTCTAGTAAATCACACTTCAATGGATATATATATAACTAGTACTAAATCTGACTTTAATCCAATTACGGTTAAAGAGTGATATTAATATAACGATATATTACATAAACTAGCTCTCCCAAAAACTTAATTTCATTATACTGTTAAGAAATATTATTTTTTAGATAATAAAATAAGAAAAGCAAATACTATAAGACATGCGTCACTTTTACTTTCACGCAAATAATTAAAAAGAGTAATCACAAGGTTCGTTTCGTTTGCGTTGATTAACAAAAAATAAAAATATTAAATAACATAATTATTTCGCCATGAAAAAACTCCCCTAATATTTTCATGTTTTAACCGTGCGTAAAAATCGACAACAAAGTTTTAAGTGTTTAATTTAGTAAAACAATCTGATTAAAAAATTAATTATGACAGTTATGGTTGGCTCAAATGACAATATGATCCTACAAGGAGGAACTACCAAGAGAGTAGGGATTTGAATTCTGAAAAAAAAAAAAAAAAAAATCACTATTTCGAATCAGAGCTGGATAATTGTTACGTCGCTCTTTTCTTATATAGATCGTGAGAATACCCAGGATCTTAACTCATCCCAAAGGGATAATTCTGGTCATGAAATAAAAATAATAATTATCAATATAAATAGTAATATTGAATCACATTAAATAAGTTAAAAACACAAGATTCCATAAACATGCTTTCTTTTTCTCATATATTTTCTTTTTCGTAAATTGTAGGTCCATGATTTCACTCAAAATATCCATAAATCTGAGACAAAGATGAGAAAATATCAAAATAATTTTTAAAACACAGAGAATGAAAATTTGAAAATCGAAACTATTTTAGGATATTATATTTTGTTACAAAAATAGTTGTAATGATTAGTCGTGTTTTAAAAATAATTAATTATTTAGCAGTTACCTTGCCAATTTTTCCTAGAACCTCTTAATTATAACTGAACCTAACTTTCAGAAAGAAGGGGGAGATACAGGACATTAAGCCACACTCGAGCTTAGCGGCTCCAGTGGGGTGGCTTCCATGATGTGAATGAGTTTGAATTTCCAAAACCAAAACCACCTGAAGTTATTTAATTTGTATATAGTTATTTTCAATGTTATCCAGTCATATGGTAAAGTACTAATACTATAAGAATGATATGAAATTACAGGGAAGTATAAAGACTAAATTAAAAATAATTATTATATAGAGAAACTCCAACAGTCAATATTATAATATCAACCTATGGCTATCGATGACTAAATAAAAAATAAATGTATGTATAATGATTAGATTAAAAAAATTGTATAATTATTAATTAAATTAAAATAAGTGTGATATATAAAAGGTAAAAAATATATTTTAACCTATATTATATGATTTAATATGATCCTA